TCTACAGAGATAATTGTGTACACAGCTAAAAAAATATATATATAATAATTTGAAAATTCAGTTAAAATGCTGGGGATTTTTGAAGACTGCTGGAGAAAAACGGTTGCAGTGTTCTGTCTTAGAAGTGTTTTATTTATTTATAGCAACTTATGGACATAAATAAGCATAAATTGTTGCAGGGTTTTGTAGTACATTCATAGGCATAAGGGTCCTTGCAGCTGAAATGGTATCCTTCTGAAATGACACTGAATAAAAGCTGGGTTTGATTTAGCCACTAAATAGATTTACTAACTAGTTTATCAGTGTCTTTCAGGTGACTCTTCCTGTTTTGGGAAGAGATGCAGGTGTAAGTTTAAGAAGAATATGACTAAACCCCGGTGACCCTTTACCAATTATTAATTGAGCACTGAGGTTTGATTGCATTGCTGTTCCAGAGCTGTGGTTTTACAGAACAAAACTGCTAGCTGTTCTGGGGGCGCTGGTACAGGAGAGAGGGATGTGCAGGGACTCAAGGCTTTCCTTGAGCACATGCTGTAAGAGTGGAGGCCGGGGAGAGAAAGTTGTTGTTTTTGTAGAGCTGCCACAAACAGTGCTAATTAATACACTGATTTTACAAGGGATGGAAGGGACCTATACAGACAGAATTAATTATTAAAATCTCTTTCTTCAAAACACTGTTTCTAAGGTTCTTTGCATGATTATAATATGAACCTGCCCTACAAAGGAGTCACAGATCTAAGATCAGATTCAGACAAGAGTCGTGTGCTTTATCAAGAGTTTGAAGATGAATGTACACACACATCTGGTGAAATTAGGGAGTCTGGTTTGGAGAGATGCTGTCAGCATCAAAGCCAGGGGAGTGCAACATAGCGAGTGAAGTCAGCAAGCATCAGGGGAAAATAAGACTTTACTAAGTCAGTCCCAATATATGGGGCTGCTCCCTGGCTTTCAAGTTTTTAATGTATTAAGTTTCTTGATAGTTTCATGAACTTTATTGTGGGTTTTTCTTCAGAATGCAGAGAGGAACATAATGAGCAAATGCAGCTGTGATTATGCTGGAATCACACTCTCTTGGTGCTGGATTTTCTCCTAAACTCCCTGCAATAATCTGCAGTAGCTACTCTGTAGTGAGCTGGGTTGTTGGGGTTTTTTTTCAGCTATCTAATTGGGGTTCATGCTTCAGGGACCTATTTCTAGAGTTACGGTGAATATCAGACCTTGCAGTGGAGAAGGGTTTGTAGCAGATCAAAGGCCAAATTGTTATTTCTTATGCTGGTTTTATTCTTAGCCCTGCATAGTGATGCTCCTCATGTCTGGAGCACAGATAAAAATGAGATATTGATGACTTTCAGACTCCAAAAGCCTTTTGCTCGTCTAGAATACAATTATATAAGTGGCAGTAAGTGATGCCTGAATGAGACTAATATAGGCTGCCTTGATCCTCATTGCTACAGGTAGGAGTGAGAAGGTCTAGGAATGGCTACTGGAAGTATTAAGCAATTGAAGTTGGTAGTAAAAAGGGGAGACTGGTTGTTTCTTTTTTTTCCCCTTTAACTTCATGAAAATCTGAAGTAATGAGTAGCTGCATTATATAAACCATCAGGTGTGATGATGCATTACCTATATTATTTCATTCAAGAGTAGCTTTGAAAGATCTAATGCACCTTCCCAACCTCATTTGAAGCAATTAGAGAATATTTAATAATAGAATTCTCTCTTTACAGCCTCAACATTTCGATCCATCTAAATTCATAAAATTAAAAGGAGAGTTTGCGTAATTTGAAAGCAATTTAGTCTACCAAATAACTGTGCACAGAAGGAGGCTCAGCCTCCACTGATAGTTACGTCTTTCTACTGGTTAAGTTTTGGGGCAGAATCTGTTCTTGGTTTTATACCTCCATAAATTGACAATGATTTCATTAGTGCCACTGCACTTAATCTGTGTAATTCAAGTAAGAACTGAGACCCTGGAGGTTGAAAAGCACAATGTCAAATTGCAATAACTATGAAGTCAATTGCTGTATAATTTCCCTTAGGTTTCATGGACAGTGAAGTCTCTGGATACCTGGATAGACTTTGAATAACTAGGGGAATGTCAATTCATGGATTTGTGTTGAGGAACTGAGCTTTCAGGGAGGATGTTTGTTCAGTTGGGGCTTTTTTTTTCCAGAGAAGGTGAAAATATTACATTGATTACACTGATGTAATTGATGTGTGGCAGCCCATTTACTGCAAAATAAAACATGTCAGAAGAAAAAAGACTTACTTGAAAGTACAGTATTAAAACCTGTTGAACTTAAGTGAATCCATTGAATTTCATTGTGAAGAATCACTTGCTTGAAAAGTTACCTAAACTGACACTAACTGTGTGCTGGGAAATGAAGCAACGGAACGAAATTCTGATCTCATTTATACTGATATAATTAAGGAAGATTGTAGGCACTTTGGTCTTTGAGGTGATTCTTGTGCATGAGTAGGGCCAATGGGGGCTATAATAATAAAACTGATATACCTGAGAAAATCACTGGCACTGGTGTAAAGCTGCTTTATGGGTAAGAGAAAAGCTGGTCAGCAGATAAAACATCCACAATACATTTTTCTCAGGGGGTTGTTCACATAACACACACATGAGTGTGGGAATGAGAAGGGTGATTATCTTTTACATTAAAGTCTTGTTATGTCCCCATGGAATATAAAGCAGCTATGGGAAAGAATTTACACCTATGTTCAGTGTCCTGCACATGGTGTCTGAAACATAGAGAGAATATGTGTGTGAATGGGGAGAAAGGCCCATATAGAATATATCTCAGCCCTGAAAAGGGTTTTTTTTGCTTTGCAAAGCTCGTAAGAAAGCTTGAGCATGGGACTTTTTCCATGCGACCCCCAGATTGCTCTCATGCACTTCCTAGGAGCAAGTATATTCAAGGCAACATGAAATGAAATCCAGTAGCCTTGTCCACACCGCAGATGGAGGCGGGAAGGTGGCCTCCCTTTCTTCTTGCAAGCCATTCAGCTCTGCAAAGAGAAATCTGGGGTATTGAGCTACCAGCTGTCCCTGCCGCAGGTGCGTCTGAGGATGCTGCGGGGGAAGGATTCAGACTGGGGCCAGGCAACGTGGATCAGAATATCTGCTGTGAACGCTTGTGTGAGCCTTGTAGGGCAGCTGATGTCACTGGTCCATTTTTGCTTTGGTGCCTGTTGGGGCTCTATGGAAAATCCCATTCATTATCTTACAGAAAAAATAGATCAGGATATGTCTGCAGCTCATCTATCCAGAGCAGCATTCTGATAGCCATTTCATCTCTACGTCCTTTTCTTGTTTCTCCTTTACTAAAAAATAAAAAATTAAAACATATTTTAAATACATTTATATCTATAAATATATGGAAATTTATATTTTTTAAGTGCGGCAACTGTGCTGCGCATCATTCCTGTGCGACTCTTTTGAAGCGCCCGGTATTTCAGAAGTATTCACTAATTAGGGCTGCCCAACTGGGCCTCATTTTTCAGATCTTCTGAGTGTTTGTTGCTCTCATTGATCTTTAACAGGAGTGGACGGTCAGAGCATCTGAAAATCCGTGAGGCAGGCAGATGAATGTTGATGAACCAGAGGGAGAGCGTGGAAAGAAAATGCTTTGTTTGATATTGCTAATTGTTTTGTTTTGGCAATTAAGTATTTTTTGAAGCAAGTGATTGATTTGGTGAGAGATGAAAAGGGATTAAGTGTGACCCACTGAAACTCGTTTCTAGCCCTAGCTGCTTATTATGAAATTAGTTTTTGTTTCAGAATAAAACACACAGACAGACTTGGTGGTATGGAAACTATCAATTAGCTGGATATACAGAGAAATCCCTTTCTGTAAGATGTCATCTTCTTATGTGACAATCTTCTAAATATATTCTTTTGAGAGTTTTAATTATTTGGTGATTTTGTTTTTTAAAGCAGTGATAAGGAAAATAAATCGATGGTGCTGGAAAACAACTGAAAATACTTATTTACTCTTTTATTTCCCCAAAACATATCCAGAATAAATTCTTTTGGCAATTTTAAAATAATGCTGCTGGTTTGGTCAAGGAGCATAACCCTCTGTCAAGAGTTGTTTTATACTGTTATCATGAAGTATTGATTTTAGTGCCTTTGAGTTAAAGTAATAATAATACCATGTTGTTTGCTTCATTTTTTTCCCCGTCTGAGGAGCTGGGAATTATTATGAACTTAGGTGGTGGGTACAGACTCAAGCAGGAAAGTGTTCGTGTTACTGTGCTTATCAGATGCACAGACATTACATAGAATGAGCTTAAGAAGACTCTGTGGTGTTTGGGACACCTTTGTTTTCAGAACTTTATCTGCAGTAAATGCCTTGTTGAAACTCGATCTCACGTACCTCCAATGATTTGGGACCTAATTTTCCACACAAAACAGAAGTCAATGAAAAACTCAGATCTTAAAAAGTATTTGCTTTAAAGCAACAATGGGGCTTCCCACATACTTAAAACACAGGAGTATGGCAAAAAAAATACCTAGGATGCCCCAAATTTTGGTTATGTTCTTAGAAACACGAGTGGATTTCACAGAGGGCTCGGCATGGCTGGTGTAGCCCCTTCCACAAGGATGATCCTTGGTCATCCTTGGGTGCCCAGCCAGCCAACCTCCAGCTCCACCTCTGTTGCTCTGTGGGTAATTTGTCTTTGTAGCTGCAGCTCTCAGTGCAGAGATGAGCATCTGAAGAGGACATACAGAAGGAGGCAAAGAAGAAAGAATAGAGAGGAAGAGAATGCGGCTCTTAACAGTACAGCTTGATTTGATGTTTTGCCTGAATCTTCACAAGTGTAAATATTTGAGTGCAGTTTTGGTGCTTTTTTTATTCTCCTTCAGGTAAAGTATTTGTTTACATAGCATAACATTTCCTCCTTCCTCTCTTCTGTTCTTACACTCCACGAGTGAAAATCTGCAGCGTTTTTTTTTGGCAAGGGTTTAAAGATAATGGCACGATGAGCGTGAACGCTGCTTTTTCTTGAGATTGTATAAATCATTCTCCTTTTACTAAAGGTTCCCATGGAGAGGGGCATTTGAGCTTTGACCCATTTTTTTTGCAGCCTCACCCCAGTGAGATTCCAAACAGACCTGGAAAAACTTGGTTAACAAAACCATTACATTTCTAACGTGAACATCCAAGTTTCAAATTCTTGCTCAGGTGAGACCTTCCTTACACAGTGGAGGGCAATTTAAGAGTTAATGCTGGAAATCTTGCCCTTGACAAGAATAATTAGCGCAAGAGTTCTCTTCGCAAGGAGAAAAACATGGATCACATTCGTTATTTACTGTTTCATCCAGGCACCATTGCCTCCAGCACGTGGTATTACACATGCTCATGGAAGGAGGGTTTGAATTCAGAAGAGTTTACCTTCTTTTTGACAGCTTTTTTGGAAATGAGAGGGACTCTACCATAGGTTTCTATTTAAGTTGTTTATTTAGAGGGTGGCAACAAACAACTAAACATATGTTCTTTCAGTTGTATAGAGGTAGAGACATTTGGTTATAAAGCTTAGCTATATGAAGGTTGCTTTTAAATGCCATAAAAGAAACAAAAAATTAGCCTTTAAAAATCCATAAACAAGAATGCGTGTTGACATTTGGCAGGTTCATATCCCATTTCTGGGATCTTGTACAACAAAACAGTCACAAAGGAGATTTAACACTGCACCATCTCTGGCATCAAAAAAATCTGCCTCTTTTGAGAGACTTTGCTCAATTATATAGTTTCAAGGTTTAGGAGTAGCTTAATTTAAGCACATTGAAACCCAATGATTGAGTGAAACAGCTTTTCCTAACGCATACTTTGCTCCCAAGGCAGAGAAGATGACTTGCAATTTTTTTTCTTAATGAAAATGGAATAGGAAGGAATTAGGTTTCGTAGGCCTGTTTCAGAAGTGCTAATGCAAGAAGCAAATCAGTAATGAAAGTACAGATCTTATTTTTTTTGTCATGCAAAAGAAAGTCACTGAACCTGTAATGACTGACAAGGGCGGATTTTCACAGTACTAACAATTTTCTCTGTACATTTTATTATGAAATTACTTGACACTTAAATACCTTAATGAAATTATCAGGTTTAAAAGACCAGCATGGGAGTGTGTGGAAGATGTCATGCTGTCACCCGTGCGGCTTCTCATTAAAGATTCAATCTTATTTATTTTGATTTATGAGTTAGGAAAGAAGGTCTTTTGTAGAATAACCTGCAAACACATCACAATTAGTTGTTCGCACTCATGGCATCTCCAGAACAGAAGGTACCCGCTAGGTTAATGATTTTCCTGCCTGACATTGGTCATATTCCTTGACTTACGGGACAACAGATGATTTAAGATTGTAATATTCTTTTAAATCACAGAGGACTGGCAAACCCCTCTTATTTGGATGAGGATGGAGCAGATGTGTTGAAGAGTATAGCAAAGCTATTGAAGTAAATAGAAATAATTTTGGGATGGAATTTCTGGCACCCAAAATATTTTCTGGAGCTTAACTGTAGATGTTTTGATATGCTATTAGGAATTTTTAAGCTATATTTGGCTTTGTGTCCATAGGGTCAGCTATCTATAAAGCACTGTTCTCCATCTGTGGAGAAAGGAATGCTTGAAAACCGGGTTTAGTGTCTCCTTGGGTTTTCATTCTGAATTAATCCTTTGGGAATGTCATTCTCCCTTCAGTTCATCCATCACGGTCTTTAGGAATGATTTTATACCATTTGAAGAACTGAATCCAACTCTCTGACATACTCGACACTGCGTGATCTTATATCAGTGCTCTCTGGAAAGTAGTATGTAGCTAGACTGAAAAATGGACAGTGTGGGTTCCCATTAGCTGAAATACGTAAAGAATTTGTTATACTTAGAGTTTTGTTCCCTTATGCTTAATAGGTCTCCACTTTAACTTAGGGAAAATTAGTTTCATTTTCTCTTCCTACCATTAATAGCTATTAGAGTTGAAAATAAGGCTTTAAACATATCATTAAAGTACACTTAAGTAACTTGCAATTGACAATTAACTCAGCATGGTAATACATTATCATAACATTTTCCTTTGATAGGTTTGTCTCTTAAAAGATACAAGGAAAGACAAAGGCTTACTTTGTAAGACTCATGTTGAAGTTATTTCTGGTTTAATCTTTCAGATTTTTGTATTTTATCAGTGGAATGTGTTCCATCATATATTCAAATACCATTTATGTGGTGTTTGGTGGTGGGCAGTCGTGACAGACTGTGTTGAGGGGGTGTCTGGGCTCTGTTGACTTGTTTCTGTGGGGACAGTGGTCTGGTGGGATGGATACACAGTAATTAAAGGAATATACAGGCAGAATTAAGATCCATATTCGAACACGTTTGGCTCTCAGGTTTTATTAACGTCCTCTTCAGCAGAACACACAATAAGTTCTAGGAAAAAAAAACGACTGGTTACCAACATCTCAGCATAACATACCATGTGTTTTCCCTTTCATGACAGTAGTAAAACAGAGTACTGCACTTAAAATGAGAGCATTGTTTGTCCTGTAGGTAAGACCCAGAGTTAACGGTGAGCACGTGAGTGTGCAGCTCCTCAGCATGGTGATCAAGGACTGCCACTTTCAAAGCGGAGGTGGAACGTTACTATGACAGTTGCAGCACCGATGACATTCTCTATTCCTTGCACAGCCAATGGGCATTGACCTTATCCTGTCAAAGCATGTAAAAAGCAATGAGGGCAACACTGGCTTTGTGAAAACCGGACACATTTATGTAGGACATTTCACCGCATTATCATATAGTGAGTTGTAGAAGTGCAGCTAAAATACCTGCTGTGTTGTAAGGTTTTCTTTTTCAGCGGAGCTAGAAATGCAACAAAGGCAACTGAGGTCTGAGCAAATGTTTTTTCTAATGCTTTAAAAGCAAAACCACCAGTGCCAGGCATGCAAAATCCCATCAGTTCTGTGCCCCACATCTCCTCTCCTGTTTTCTTGTAAATCCACTCTCAGACATACTGGTTTGAAAATTGTACATCTTAGGGCTCTGCAGCCTGGCATACTGAGCAGTTTGTTTCATTTTGAACACTTTCACCATGCTTAAATCTGCAGAACTTAAAGAAATCAACCTGCTTGCATACATTTTGCTGAAGCTGATAGGAGCACAGCATTCCAGTGTAGTATTTCCTAGCTCACTCTCCTCCCTTTCCTCCTCAATCATTTCTTGAAAATTCCTTCATAATAACCTTATCCAAACCATAAATATGAAAGTCAAATAAGCCCAAAGGAGATTTATCATCCTCTGACTCCACACTCCTTTTATGATTAATAATGACATTGATTCCTTTAGAAATGAAACAAAAATTAATTTAAAGGTTCTGATTGGTTTTAGTATTAGGTAAACTTAACATATTGAATGAGCGTAAAACAATTATCAGTCTTATTAACAAAATTAGCCATAGCAAATTTACCAGAAGGAAACTGTTGCTATTTAGCTCCCTAATTATGTCACTATTCTTTGTGACCAAATGATATAATGAAAATAATTTGATCTAGTGGTGCTGCATAGAGAATTTCCAAGGAGCAGTTGAATATCATAATCTGTTTTGCACATATGTTTTCCTACTCTTCTTCTGTTTCAAAAAGTAGAGGTCAAGGGCTTCAGAGAACTTTGCAGTGAAGTGAAGTTGAACTGTGCTGGGCAGAATATGGAATACATTCTTCACTATTATAAAATGTTAGATAACCCTTTATTCAAGAATGGAATCCTTTGACTTACTCAAGTGGCTCCCGCTGCATGGATTTCAGGGTCTGGAAAAGCATAGGATGTCTTTCATTCTGCCTGCCATTAATGACTAGAACTGGACTTTCTGTCCCGCGCTGTGGTCTACATATTTCCTTGCACTGTGCATCCATCCAGGCACTTTAACTTGGCAAGTTCTTCTTTTCAGCCTTGAGAGTTAAAAATCAGAGAGGAGTTGGATGCCCTTTAGCCGTAGACATTTCAACCTAGGGGGACAGTCACCTGGCCAACCTTGAAGGCTACCCAAGCAGTGGTGATATGAAGAACTTGATTTTTGGGTGCCATCTTTCATCTCTTCTGTGTGAGCATCCTATGCTCATGGGTTAGTGGTGCAGTGGAGTAGAAGCAATGAGAGCTGATGAAGCTAGTGGGTGAAATCATAACATGGTCTTGGAAAACTTCGTCTTGCAAGATGTCTCTACTGGTCTCTACTGGTCAACCCCAGCAAGCAATTAAATAGTGGGGTCTCGGAGTGTTTCCCTCCAACCCCATCTGCCTGCTCTCCTTGGCTGCATCCTGACTTTGCCAGGATATGACCCTCACAGTATGTGTTCTCATTTCTTTCTTCCACCTGCCATCTGTCTTCCCTGGATTGCCATCAGTGGGCATCTTGGGTTTAGGCACATTTCCTAGCATCATACCTATTACAGCTCCTCTGGGGAAATGGTACCTCTTAGAAGTAGGATCTTTCCCTCTCTCCCTCCTCTATGAAGTGGAAATAAGGTGATGAAAACATTTTGCACAGTAAGAAATCTGCAGAGCACGAGTGCCCTGCATATTGTAACACTGCCTTAGATTTTAACAATGAACTTCAACATGATCAACTCTAATATTAAACCACACAGAAGACGTGAATGAGAAAGCTCCGGTGGAATAGAAACCCCTTGAGTACGCCTCCTGGCTGCTTGCTTAGTGCTCATGAAGATGCTCTGAACTACGCAACTCATTTTCTTGCCCACGCTATGACTACATCTTTACAGTTTGTGTCCTTTGGGAAACGTTTTTATTTTTGTTTCATTATTTAAAGCAAACCTAATATTAATGATGGGGTATGTGTATTAAAGCACTGTGCTACCAACCCACATCAGTGCGTAACTTTAGTGAGGCTTTCTGCATAATTTATGTCCGAAAGAGAGTATGCTGACACAAAATTGAGGATTTAAGCATGTTTACTGCTGCTTGCAATAATTAGATCATTTCATACTGGAACTACTAAGCAAGCGTAGCCAGGTGGGCCTCTGGGTAACTGTTAAATTAACAGTCTTCTCTTAACTGGTCAAACGTGAAGAGACATTTGAAATATATTTTGTGGCCT